ATGATAACCACGACCACTCTGACAAGAGTGTACCGACTGAGAAGAAGAACTTATAGGTATGTACCTAATGAACAAAATTAAATTAATATGAGGTGATGATGATGATTCTATCAGTAGAGTTACTAAAAGATCCCAAACGTACTGTGGCATGCGTCTCTTGAGATAAGTTACTGTTTGAAATCCTTGTACCGTGTCTCCGGTGTCACTGAGTACATTCGTGATGGGACAGATTCGTATAGAGATGGTAATACCACCACTGAAAAAGTTCACTGAAAGATATTTTCTCGAACGGGCTTCCTGCGCCGACCACAAAACAAATAAGATTTTTTTTAAAGAATGATAGAAACACAAATAGAACGTGAAAAAAAAAGAACGTGAAAGAAGAAGCTTTTTGTTAACATTGGCAAGAAACCCGATTTTGTAAGAAAAAGGAAAATGGTTGTAGAAAACTTCATGTTGTAATGGTTGTAGAAATTCAATTAATCAAAAAGTCAAAAGCCACACTCAAAAGTGATCTCCTCACTTTTGACGATAACTCGCTTTGAACCCAATGCACGATGGGCGTCATGAAACCTGCTTTCAGGAATATCTACCCCATGAAAAACAATAGAACTTATAGATCTTTGTTCTATTCTTCGAATTTTGATTGCCATTAAATAAACGTAGAACATCTGAAGAGCCTTATTTGCAGCTATAGAAAAACGTTACGATCTGGCAAAGTAGAATAGGACCACTCCCATTCGTACTGTGGGGTATTGCAAAAGACGACCAATAAGTTTTCGACCAATAAGACCTCTCCAAACCAAGGCCAGCATTTTACTGTAGGCCAAAATAGCATCTTATCCTCTATTTACATCTGGTAAATTAGAAAGGGCCGTACTCCTGCTGTGGAGACTAACACCCTGTTAATTTTCCTGATATACTATACTATAAAAATAACACATAAAATTAAAAATGGTTAAACCAACTCACAATAAATACTGTGACGCAAGTAGTATAGAGTTACAACTATAATTTAGTTCTTAGACAGTCCGCCGCCTACAACATGCTCCTAATAAAACATCTTAGCAAGCAGTCAGCACGACCAAAGAAATCTTTAACTTGCATTATAACCGTAACTTGTCCTTCTAATTATTATAAATGCGAAAGTTTGGATGTCTGGATGTTTGTTACTATTTCACGCAAAAACCACTGAACGGATTTTGATGAAACTTTACAGTATTATTGTTTATAACCCAGAATAACATATAGGCTATAATTTATGACGATCTGTGACAAGCGAAATTTCACGCGGGTGAAGCCGCGGGCAAAAGCAAGTGCTCCTAATAAAACATCTTTGCCAGCAGTCAGCACAAGCACGACCAAAGAAATCTTTAACTTGCATTATAACTGTAACTTGATCATTGGATTATTTCTTTCGTCTCTCAATTTGGGAACTCTCAATTGAACTGACAGAAACGTTTGTAACCTCGTTAGCGAGTTTGAGAAATTAATGTTAAGAGCTTTACGTTTTAGGGAATAACTTTTAAGTATTCATAATAAATGTAATAAGCATTTTTTGTTTTACAGATGGATATAAGTTACTTTTTTACCGCCTCTACGTGCCAGTAGTAGTAGTAGGTAGTTAGTGACTATAAAAATGTGACATCTAATTCCATACAAAGTATAAGATAGTATCTACTACTAATATTATATTAACTGTGTACCTACTTATCTCTTTTTTATACATATTTACGAGTCATCATCATCATCATTTCAGCCATAGGACGTCCACTGCTGAACATAGGCCTCCCCCAATGACTTCCACATCGCACGGTTGGGTAGCGGCCTGCATCCAGCGCCTTCCTGCTACCTTTATCAGGTCGTCGGTTCACCTTGTGGGTGGACGTCCCATATTTACGAGTAGCAAGGTGTATTAATTTGTGTGGTAAGAACTAGGCTTCGCTGAACTTTCATAAAAATATTAACAATTTTCAAATTAAAATTTAGGTTAAATATTAATATTACACTTTAATTGATTCAGTTTTCGTACTAACTCGTTACATTTATTGAAAATAGTCATCTTTAATTTTTGATATTCATGAAATTATTAAATTAAACATCACAGTTGGTAAATAAATTACATAAATTAGACTTTACAGCACGCTGGTGTGTTTTATCAAATTGAGCAATTCAATTTTGTTATTTAAATTAAACTAACGAGAGAGATTTTGATTAGTTTTGTATAACGCATGCATGACATTCGCCTCTGAATGTTAAAAGTTCAATGACGTTGCTTTTAATAAAAATTCGCGCGACTTTTCTATCAAGACAAGTTTAATTGTTAGTTAAAAGTGCTTATTTACCTACTTAGTCGATAATTCACTCATTTAATTGTTTAGTTTAATAAGATAAGCGAGTGAGGTTTTAAAAACTGACACACTGACTAACACACTAATTTTATTCATCTAAGCGATTTTTTCTTCACTTCAATTTTTAAATTTCGTTCGTCGATTTTCTTTTGTTTTGACATTAAGCCATCGACCACATTTTCTTTATTCCTGTGATTTGAATTTAGAATGCTGTGTTCTTTTTTTTTACGATTCCTGTGACGCAAAGGCATAGCTGAAACGCAGCCTATCTCGATTCAGGCACACTTCACGCCTCCATGCTCGCCGCAAAGCGTTGCGTTCTCAAGCATCTCTTGGCGTAACTTTAAGCCGGTGCTTTAACCACTAAAATGGACTTTAATTTCAGCGGGCTAAATCTGAATATGGTTTGGAGAGTTCCTTTTTTGAGGTCCCCTTTGAGTCTGGACTCAAGATTCAACTCGAGAAATTCGCAGTTTTCAACAGATAAGATAAAATTTTGTAATATTACGTTACAAATTTGATATCTATAGAATGGTATAGATGTTACGGTTAATGTGATAAATTGAAAATTATTAATAATAACCGGTTATTATGAATAATTACCGACAGTCGCGGTAAAAGTGATAAATTAATCACATTTAACAGTGATTATTTAATAATTCAACCTTAGTACTAACAAATTTCATAAAAGAGAACAACGTCTTGTGTACGTGCTCGTGTACAGCCAAACTTTTGAACGTTTTGATATTCATATATTAATATAATTTAGCATAATGAGTTTGGAATGTTTCTTGCATAATATTACTTTTCCACATTTACCAAATCATGCGGTAATTATTCATAATAACCGGCGATTATTCATAATTTTCACATTTATCACTTTGACCGTAACATAGACATTACGTAAAAGATAACATCTTGGTTAAACCTACCGATGTAGATAGGACAATGTTACACATCGAACCATATGTTTTTGTGTTGCAAAATAACACTTATTTGAACTATTTAAGATGCAGCTACGATAAGCTTGATGTGCTATCGTTTCAGACTAAAAAGTTGTTTACAATCTTCGGAACAAGGACGAATGCTACAAATCATTTTATCTTATTATACCTACCTAATATTATTGTCTATGATGTAGCACTTTCTCTAAGGTCTTCTGTACTTAGTTACTATCACAGTCTACAATGTCCTAAAACTAATCCTGTCAACTGTTCCACTAAGGGTGGATTTGACCAAACACGAGTAAATATTAAACTAATATCTATACAAATATTATATTATAAATGCGAAAGTAACTCTGTCTATCTGACTGTCTGTCTGTCTGTCTGACTGTCTGTCTGTCTTGCTTTCACGCCTAAACCACTAAACCGATTTTGATGAAATCTGGTATGGAGATAGTTTGAGTCACGGGAAAGGACATAGGATAGTTTTTATCGCGGTTTTTGAAACAGGGACGCGCGCGATAAAGTTTTTCTGTGACAGACAAAATTCCACGCGGGCGAAGCCTCAGAATAAATCGTCAGTTTTAACTTATTTCCCATACTGAAACTGTCAATGTGCCAGTTATACCAGGAGTTATTTTTGGATAAAAGTTTGGTCGAATCGGGCCTAAGGGCCCTTTCCTACTGCAATCCGGGACCCAGTAGTGCAGGATCTGCACTGCAGAAACTGGACTATCGTGTGAACACACAAGAAGTGTTCTTTTATGATGGTAAGTGATTACCGTCGCTCATAGACTAGTGCAGGGTTGGCGAACCATGGCACGCGTGCCAATGATGGCACGCGACATAATATTTTGGGCACGCCACCAATCACAAATTCAGTAATTCAATAGTAAATAATGTGTTTTGATTATGAGCTATCGTATTTGCCGTCATCAGTTAGTGCCACTGTAGAGTAAGGTCGTGTCACTCACCAGTGGTGCCACTTGATAGCATTAGGTGTTAATTTAATGGCACGTGTCTATGACTACTTCAATTTTTTTTTTAAATAGTGGCACGTTCAAACTTAAAGGTTCGCCATCCCTGGACTAGTGCATAGCAATAGTGCAAGTGTGTTTGAAATTCAAATTCTAATTCGAAATCAGTTTTTGCTAGACACTACCTAAACACTGCTAACGGGATGTTCATGTGATTAAGGCTGAGTACTTTAACTTTGACAAACGTCAAAAATCTATTAAACTCCATACGAAAAGCACCGGTTAATGTTATTGTTTTGGTTAAAATCACGAGTACTGAACGGGCTCTTGAAAAAACGAAATATATCCGTGGAAAAGAGCCCTAAGAAATCAAACCCTAGACCTCAGTCAAGAAGTCGGTCTAACTGACCACTAACCCTCCACTTTTACTACAAAACTGTTCCTGACTTCACCCTAGGGACAAGGGTTAAGTAAATAAAAACTATTTACTTCTAAGGGATCTTGAATACACCGACCTAGAATCAGAGTTATTCAAAGCAAAGTCATCTTAAAGAGAAGGGATTAGGATCAAAAATTGACTGTAAAAGTTTTGGGGTACCAAGGATGGTTGGGCAGAATGGAGTTTTAAGTATGCGTTTTGTGCACGGTTTATTGTACAGGGTCAATGTGGTAAACTATGTTCATTAGAGGATGCAGTGTGTAAAATAACGTCTATTTAATGGTTTTAGAATAGATTCTCAGATGCTTCAAACTTGGAGTGCAAGTGTGGTTGTGTTCCCCAGTCAATGAAGCACAGTGATGACTGCGTGCCCAAACAACTGCACGCAGGAAGATTTATGAATGCTGCTGACTACTCCACTCTAGTAGAGTTTTGGGCTGACACTGTGTAGGTTTGTTGTCGATACGACAAGAAGAAAAAGAAATGGATTAATCCAGCAAATTGATAATTTTTCTAACAGTTAGTTATCCCAACTAATATTATAAATGCGAAAGTAACTCTGTCTGTCTGTCTGTCTGTCTGTTACGCTTTCCCGCTTAAACCTCGCAACCGATTTTGATGAAATTTGGCATAGAGATAGTTTGAGTCCCGGGAAAGAACATAGGATAGTTTTTATCCCGGTTTTTGAAACAGGGACGCGCGCAATAAAGTTTTTCTGTGACAGACAAAATTCCACGCGGGCGAAGCCGCGGGCGGAAAGCTAGTATGCATATATTTTAGCTCCGTATAAATTTTCAGTAAGTAGGTCTTTCAGCAGTACAGGTGTCTTCAGTAGTCGATTTACAGTTAGATCTATTGAAAATTAAATATGACGAGGCTTTGAATGACATTTACATGAAGGCAAAGAAGCATTTTTTGGTGTAGGGGAGACCGACCTGAGTTGTAACAGAGGAGAGTTGTGACATTGTCGATTTTTTTGAACTTATAAAATAACTAGTAACAGTGCGCGTTTTTAGTTCAAGTCTCGAGCTAACAAATGCGCACTGTTGCGAGCTCGCTGATAGGTTTCCAAAAATCAACTCTCCTCTGTTACAACTCAGGTCGGTCTCCCCTAGATAAGAAACCCACCTACTTAATGTTCTTAGATTTCAATTACGAGGACGGAACCGAGTTTACTTAGACTAAATTTAGGTAACTAACAGCCTACAAAATTACCCAAGTACTAGAAACTAACAAGTTCAACTTGATGAGCCTTCAATAACATGAAGCTACGTTTCAGGGCTATTTACTTGCTCTATGAGTAGAGTCACCATCACCATCCTTTCAGAACTCTTTGAATTTGTATCAGTACTTTTCCAATTACTAGATTGGACGTAATTAGGTATTATCATTATAATCGAAGGTTTAGTACAAGTCGACTTAGAACCAAAGTTACACTAGTACGCAGAACTGACGGCCGATGGAGCAGCAAGATTCTGGAGTGAGGCCACGTACGTACCGGAAAGCGCAGCGTAGGACGTCCACACACAAGGAGGACTGACGACCTCATAAAGATAGCAGGAAGGGGCTGGATACAGGACGCTTACCAACCGGCCTATGTGGAAATCATTGGGGGAGGCCTCAGATCATCCCTTCTATAATATGAGGGGGAGGCCTATGTTCAGCAGTGACGTCGAGACGTCCTGTGGCTGAAATGATGATGATGATGATGCTCCCTAATAAAGACAAAAAAAGAAGTAGATGCGACTTTTTTGTCATTACGACGATTTGGTACATATTTGTTTTATTGATATTTAATAAAGTATTCCTAAACCTATCCACCTCACTGATCTCTTAATCACGATTAAAATTTAAAAAAGCATTTTCTCGGTTCCCATTGATTGAATTATGGTGAGAAATCAATGAACATTTCTATTCATAAATCGGGGAGCAGTGTCGTCAGAAAACAAAACCGTGTTAACGCGGCTAAGTAGCCTATTAAAGTCTAGACCGATTTATAAATACGGGCTTAAATTTAGCTTGTACAGTCAGCTGAATGTGTCCCGGTTTTTTTGCAGGACAAGGCAGGTATTTGACCGCAATCGCACCTGATGTTAAGTGGGATGCAGTCTACGATGGTACATATCTGCCCTGTAAGTGCCTATTCACTCTCGTCTTGAAAAGGCCCGGATTTTAATATAAACAGATTATTCTGGCGCTGCAGAACGAAGAGATCCGACCACAAATAATAGGAAACGGCTAGGGACTAAGGCTAGGCCAAAGAAGAAGAAGAATTACTTAGACAAGACTAAATTAAAAATCCTGACCTGCTTACAATAAAATGGTTTCCTCTTGCTAGGATTTATAAACTAGTTTACCTTGAAATAGTTTTTAAATAGGTAAGTAGCAAGCTGAAAATGGCAATGTACAGCAAGGTTCTGGAGTGGAGGCCACGTACCGAAAAACGCAGCGTGGGACGTCCGCCCACAAAGTAGACCAAAGAAGACTCAAGGAAATCATTGGGGGAGACCTATGTTCAGCAGTGGACTCCTGTGGCTAATGTCGGCCGTTTGGTGTAGTGGTTCGAAACGGACTACTATTCCGGAGGTAGCGGGTTCGATTCTCGCACAGTACAAACATTTGTGTGCATGAACATATTTGTTTGTATTGGACTGGGTGTTTTCTATGTATAATAAGTAAGTACGTATTTACAAAAAAAAGTATTTAAGTCTATGTTTATATCCGTTGTCTAGTACCCATAGTACAAGCTTTGCTTAGTTTGGGGCTAGAAGCGCAGTGTAAAAATAATATCCAAGGATATTTATTTATTTAAAAAAAATGCTTTGTCATTGCCTTATAGACCAGACTTGGCTGGTTCCATTTTGAACTGTTTTGTTGTGTATCAAGCTGCAGATCTACACAGAAGTAGCAGCAATGGGAGCAAGCGAGAGATGAAAAATAAACCCGTTGGTTACAGGAATGGGCCTTTTTTTGTCGCGGAGGAAATGCTTTGCGCACCGTCACCACTGCCGGGGGAATGGGAATGGGCCTGACTGTACTTCTCCAAGGTCGAACCACTCGACAAACGTTGACGGCTCATAACCACCTGGTTTACAAAACTGTGCTTAATGAGAAGTATTTGTGGATGTTTAGACCTGCAGAGGAAATGAGCTGTGCCTTCACGTGCTGGCATGGTTGATGATGTGATGAGTCTGAGACAAACCGTATATATAAACTTTTATCTTGTCATGATGACTAAAAAATCCCTACCTCTATTTTGAAAAGCTGACAAAATAAAGCTACTTCTACACCGTTGTTAAAAGGTTAAAATTGGCAAAACTCACCTAAAAATTATATCCAAAGTCAATGTCACTAACACTGTTTTGCGTATCACATCAAAACTGAGATCGACAGAGATCAAATGGAACAATTTCTTAGTTCAGATAAACAGTGATAGCACTATCTAATCTCATCATGTAATTCGACATTATAAAGATAATCTTCATCACTGAGTGAGAATAAACTTCTGATGAATCTTCCTTCTGGTATCTTGGAAACCCCCAGCAAATCTTATTGAAGTCTGGTATATAAACTACCTAGCCCCCTGGCTAGGTAGTTTAGACACCTCTTACCGACATGATTAATCATTTAATAGAACCTACATCGACAGGAGCGCGCGGCAGGTAGCCCATGCGCTGGTCTGAGCCCATCTCTGGCAGTAAAAAAAGTAACATTTTAGTGGTGCATTCGGCTGAACTTGAAACAGTTGTAAAGGAAAAACCTTTGGATACTGACGATTTTAAAGAACCACGTCATTGTAAAGTGGTTTAACAGATCCTATTAAGTAGGTACCCTAACTGTGAAGGACAGTTTGAATCATCCCTCTTTGCAAATCTGCTGTTGAAAAAGCAGTAAGTATAGCTACAACCTATTGACTACGACTGAAACCCAATTACGGTAATTATTCCGATAGCTTTTAAAAGCTTTAAGGCGCAGTTTTATCAAAATAATGTTCGTATATCCTCTGACAAGGTTACTTAGTTTCTTCTGCCACTTCTCATCACCAGTCCATGTGTCGTCCAGAAGCTTGCTCTATTAGATATTTGAAACGTGTATAAGTGACCTGAAAAGGACCTTAAAAGTAATAAAATTTTGATTTGATCTACCTGTGCCCATTCCCATTAGATAATTCAAGTGATTCCTATCTAGTTTCACGAAACCTGAATCTGAGCATAAGTCTACCTACTAAGTGATGCGAATAGAATAGATCAAACGATCGATTTAATCATGGTTTTATCTTCTCTTATCTATAAAGCTCTAAATTATGCCCACCTCTTACTTATAAACTTATAACACTCTAATGTATTTCTATCCCCATTGATAACTAACAAGAACATTCCCGAAACCTGCCCTTAAATTAAGTGGGCTCTCAAACCCGGAGCAATTAGGGGCAAGGAAATGTAAAAATGTAAGGAACTGCCTCGCTTTGTTTGTGTACGTGACAAAGCTGAGCAAGTACGTCAAAATTCGCAACTATGATGAAGTAGGAAGTACCTTCATAAATAGCTAGATAACTAGCGTACTGACTGACACTCATCGACTACATAAGTACAGTTCCTGTTTCCATCATCATCTTGGTCAATGGAAACAGTTTTTATAGGTTACTAAATAGTCACGGATCGGAAGACGTAGCGTGGGCAGACCCCCCACTAGGTAGACCGACGATCTGGTGAAGTTCACTGGAAGAACCTGGATGCGAGCATCGTTTGACTGGTCATTATGGAAATCCTTGGGGGAGGCCTTAGTCCAGACACCTTTTTGCGTCAGAATAATGCCCTACCAGAAGTTTAGGGCTTACCTACTCACTAAAAACCTGGCAGTTCCCTCGGGTGGCACTTATTGGGGGCAGCACGCAAGTCGTACCTACTTGATACACTCAATACAATGTTTGTATTTATTCAAGTACACTTACGAGTATGTAGGAGGTGGGTACACACTGACTGACCTACATCGACTACATAGAGCTAAGTATGGGTTTAATTAATTATCACAAACATTTTATTATCCTTGCGTGCTACCATTAACTGATTGGGTTCAGTATCAGCCAACAGTTCAATCATTAGTGCAAAGCTTGCCAATGACTGCAATTTTTAATTTAGGTGTTTTATTCACCAAGGTCAATTTCATGAAGAACGGCAACTATTTATGTAATGTTTGATATGCAATCGATATAAAATAATTATAAATGTACCTATTTACGTAATGTGTATTGAGAAAAATGAATACATACAATTTGCGATCTGATAGTTTCTTAAAAAAATACCGGTATGTAACTAACGTTACTTAAAAAAAAACGAGGAATATTAAATGTGCCAAGCCAAAAACATTTTAAAAAGTAAAAAAAAAATATGTCAGAAATGACGTTTCGGAATCCCGTTTTCTTTCAGCATGATTGATTTTATTTTTCACGTT